CTCAGTTAAGCACATGTTTTATTATGCATATTTTCAAAAGTTATGTGAATCATGACGTTTCCATTAATCGTTTTTATGCACATCTCCAAAATGAGCTCTAAAATAGGTGTGCGGAGACGTAAGCCTAAGGCGCGAAATACCGCTTTATCTTTAAAAAAGGGGAGGAGACCGACAGAAACTCAGAGTTTAGAGAATAAAACCTGCTCTGGACCAGGTTAGATTCACAGAGTAAGTTGCCACAGTAACTGACTCTGAGTTAAAGTTACCTTTCTTTCAGAAACAGGATTGACTTACCCTGCTTTCTCGTGTTTAACAAACCTTCCATTTTGAAACGGAAAAGCCAGAGTTTCTCTAATTTCAGGGTTAAAATACTCTGAGTTTTCACTTAACCTCTTTTCTGAAACAGGCCCCAGCTGTCTAGTCCTGTTGTGTTTCTTGTGTCACTTGCCTCCTGAGTCTCCGCTGGTTGTGGATCCACCTGACTTGATGTTCCATCTATTTACCTGTTCCAAGCCTGAGGTTGTGCTAGCTAGTTACTGACTGCTTGGCCTGAATTTCTCCTTTCCTGACCAGTCTGAATTTCTCGTTTCCTGACAATCCCCTCTGTATCATACTGAAGTCCTGATTCTCTATCCCTCACCAGCTTGTGTAGGTTTCCTCAGAGTGCTCTGATTTCCCCATAGTTCAAAGACATGCGCTAAAGGTGAATTGAATAAGCTAAATTCGCCATAGTGTATGTTTGTGAATGAGAGTGTTTGGGTGTTTTCCAGTACTGGGTTGCGATTGGAAGGGCAATTGTTGCATAAAACATATGATGGATAAGTTAGGTGGTTCATTCTGCTGTGGAAACCCCTGATAAATAAAGAGACTAAGTAGAAGGAAAATAAAAAAATAAATGAAGTGTATCAGCATATATTGTTAATTTGTGTGAAAATATAAACCAAAATATTAGCTTTTCTAGAAGTTATAATGTGCAATATCACTTTTTTAAATTCCTGATTTTCACTTCATTTTGTTGTATTTTAGGATTTAATTATATTCAATATTATCATTAATACTAATAATTAATATTTGTTAACTATTTGCAGAACAGATTGAAAACTACCAGTAAATTTTACATATATATATATATATATATATATATATATATATATATATATATATATATATATATATATATATATATATATATATATATATATATATATATATATATATATATATATATATATAATGCATTTTATTTATGATGCGCTTTTCTCAGTCCCAAAGCGTTAACAGGCATACAAGGCAAACAATGCAGAACAATAAAAACAGTAAAAAAAATAATAATAATAAAATAAATAAAAAGACCGCAATAAAATATGAATGATTCAATGCAATTGGATGATAAAATAACAAAAATAATCAATCTAAGTTAAAAGCAACGGTAAAAAAAATGAGTCTTACGAAGTTTCTTAAAACAATCCAGAGAAAAAGCATTTCTGATGCTGGTGGGTTGGCCATTCCATAGCTTAGGTGCAATGTACGAAAAAGCACGACCACCCATAGTCTTCAGTGTACAGCGTGGCTAATACAGCAAGATTGCAGATATGTATACACTGTAAGAAAAAAAAATCTTAAAAAAAAAGGTCAAATTACTGGCAGCATTTGACCTTTTTTTTACGATTTTAAAAAAAAAAAACTTTATTGAAAACGGATTTAATCCTAATAATCTAGAAAAGTCTGCAAAATAACAGTGTTTATCTGTAAACATTTCAATGAGAATATCTGTAGATTAATTATTTTTTGCACTTTATTTTAACAAAGAAAATTTGCCATAATTTTATGGTTTTTGTATGGCAGCCGTAGCTATCAGTCATTTGACCTTTTTTTTACGATTTTTTATTTTTTTTTACAGAGCAAGTAATTACAATTCATTACTTTAATTTTACGTAATTTTAAATGTACTTAAAAAATAACAGGAAAAAACACTGTGTAAATAATACGGCAATTTTATTGTATAAAACAGACAAATTGCTGTAATTTGTCATTACTGATATAGTACATATATATAATAACAGTCAAGCTGTTAATTTACAGATATTGTTTGTAATTTTTACAGAGTTTTGAATATAATTTAAAATAACAGAAAAAATACTGTATAAATAATACTGTAATTTTCCTGTATAAAAAACAAAAATGTCAGTAACTTGTCTTTAATGATAAAGTACCTAAAATGAAAGTCAAACTGTGAATTTGAAATTGAAATTGTTTGTCATTTTACTAAGTTCTACATATAATTATAAATTACAAAAAAATACTTAAAAAAATTTAGGGATATTTTCTGTAAAATGTGTTGTTTTTTAACAGTATATATATATATATATATATATATATATATATATATATATATATATATATATATATATATATATATATATATATATATATATATATATATATATATATATATATATATATATATATATATATATATATATATATATATATATATATATATATATATATATATATATATATATATATATATATATATATATATATATATATATATATATATATATATATATATATATATATATATATATATATATATATATATATATATATATATATATATATATATATATATATATATATATATATATACATATATATATATATATATATCATATATATATATATACATACATATATATATATATATATATATATATATATATCATATATATACACACACACACACATATATATATATATATATATATATATATATATATATA